CACACACACACACACACACACACACGCACACGCACGCACACGCACACACACACACACACACACACACAAATATATATATACACACACGCGCGCGCGCGTGCGCGCGTTTGGAACGTTTTTAGGTGTTGTCTTGCTATTTTCACAGGTGTGATAAAGATGCCTATTTCATGATAGGGAACATTTTAATAATAAGCACACATTAGGCCCTTAGAATGATAAAGTTCTAGCTCTACTTTTTCCGAAATCTGAGTTCCACACTATACAAAACTGAAACAGATGCCCTGCTTATTGTGTCAGAGACTTGAGACAATCCTACTCGTGTATATTTTTTTAAATTTCAATTTGACGCTTAACAAAAAAGGTGTAAGAACATTTTTTGCTTTATGGGTGTGAATCTTTGAATGCTTTCTCCTCAAAACCTTACAATGCTTCATGGAGTTAGAACCGTGACATTCTACATGTAAGGGCGCGACATATTCCCCCTCTTTCGCATACGTTCTTCCTCTTTTGTTCTGGTCTCCCCGACCTGAATATATTATTTCTCTTTCTCAAACAATCAATGCAAGTTGAATCAAAGCCTCACCGATCTGACTGTGAGTTTGGTTCGTTTTACAAACATCCAGGTTTCCCTTTGCTCGCTTTGAAATGTCCACTGCTTTCGTCAGCCGATTTTGCAGGAAGCTGGACAAACAATATGAATCATGAATAACCAGCACTAGAAACATCGAGGGTAGGGAGATTTTTAAGAATAAAAGTTTCAGTTTGATACCGAAAAACAAATCTGTGTTGAATGGGACGCAATCAAAATAGAAGCCAAAACTTAGCTAAACACAATAGGGGGGAGGGGGTATAAAAGACAAACAGTAAGGAGTTGTACTGATGGGTAATGGGTTTAGGGGTGGAGAGGGGGGGGGGCATTTGTGTGTGTTCATTTGAGAGAATAGTGATCGTCGTTTTTGTTTTGGTGCTGTTGCTGCTGTTGCTTTTCTTGTCGTTCTTCTTCTTCTTCTTCTTCTTCTTCTTCTTCTTCTTCTTCTTCTTCTTCTT